AACAAACGATTTGAAGAGAATTATCATGGGCTTTGTGTCCCTAGTTTTGAAGGTTCTCATTATCCATTCTATAATTTTTCTAGCAGATGAGGTAGATACATTGTTGTGGTCTTTGAAGGTGAGATCCTCTGACATTATCACTCCCAGATCTTTCACATTTGTTTTTCGCTCTATTGTGTGGTTAGAATTTGTTTTATACTCTGATAAAGTTTTAATTTCGTTAAGTTTTCCATATCTGAGTAGTTGACTTTTCTCTTCATTGTACTTCATATTGTTTTCTGTGGCCCATTTAAAGATTTGGTTGTTGTCCGCTTGGAGTCTTGCAGTGTCTTCGATGGAGGACATTGTCATGGCAATTCAAGTGTCATCTGTAAAGGAAGACATGGAATTATGGCTACATCTCTGTCTATGTCAGATATGAGGATGAGGAACAGGATGGGAGTGAGTGCTGTGCCTTGTGGAACAGAGCTTTTCACTGTAGCCACCTCAGACTTTATTCTGTTTACTATTACATTTTGTGTTCTGTTTGTTAAGAAGTTATAGATCCATCTACCAACTTTCCCCATTATTCCTTTGTCACGTATTTTGTGTGCTATTACACGATGGTTGCACTTGTCGCAGGCTTTAGCAAAGTATGCGTATACTACATCTGCACTTTGTTTATCTTCTAAAGCATCCAGGACCTTGTCATAGTGGTCCAGTAGCTAGGACAAACAGGAGCGACCTGCTCTAAACCCGCATTGCCATGGGTTGTGTAATTGATGGGTCTCTAGGTGGATGGCAGTCTTACTGCTTAGAACCCTTTCAAAAAGATTATGATATTTGATGTTAGTGCTATCAGTCTGCAGTTCTTTGCAGTTGCTTTACTGCCACTTTTGTAGAGTGGGACTATGTCTGTTGTTTTTAGTGACTGTGGGATGACTCCAGTGTCCATGCTCCCTCTCCTTAGAATGCTGAAGGCATGTGACGGGTACTTCTTGCAGTTCTTGACGAACACGGTTCCACGAATCCGGGCCTGGGGGAGAGTGCGTGGGCATGTCATTAATTACCGTTTCGAAGTCTTGCAGTGTTAGGATAATATCAAGGATTTTTGAAGTGACCAAATTTTGAACCTCAATCATAAAAAATTCATTTAGATTGTCGACCCTGAGTCTGGTTAATGGCTTACTGAACACTGAGTCGTATTGGGACTTTAGTATCTCACTCATTTCTTTGCTGTCATCTGTGTAGATCCCATCTTGTCAAAGCAGGGTTCCAGTACTGGATGTTGTTTATTCCTTAGATTTGGCATAAGAGAAGAAGTATTTCAGGTTTCTTTCAATTTCATTGATGGCTTTAAGTTCTTCCTGAGATTCTTGTCTCCTGTAAGATTCCTTAAGCTTAAGTTCAATATTTGCTGTTTCTTTGACCAGTGCCTCCCTTCATATTTTAGATATATACTGGCCCCTCTCAGTATAAGGATCATCTCTCTCTTTCTAGTTTACATCTTCTCTTTCTTTTTCTTAATGGAATGTGCTTTGAGCAGACCTCAAGTGCCACAGAGTTAATTTTTTCTATGCAAAGATTTTGATCCGTGTTGATTAGGATATCTTCTCAACTTATTTTATTTAGCACATGACTGACTTATTCCCAGTGTATGTTTTTGTTATTGAAGTTGAATTTTGTGAAGGCACTCTCATAACTGATCACTTTTTGCTGGTCAGGAGCCCTGTGCATACATGACTGTACCTCTATTATGTTGTGATTTGAGTGTATTGTCTTAGGTACGCTTATATTACATATCAGATTGTCGTTGTTGGTGAAGATGAAGTCCAGTGTATTTTCTAATCTAGTAGATTCTATTATTTGCTGGTTTAAGGTGAATTTGGTGCAGAGATTTAATAGCTCGTGTGTGTGTGAATTTTCATCTGAGCTGCCTCCTGGAGTGATTTCTGCTAAAACTTTGTTTGCTACACCCCTCCATTTTAGGTGTCTCAAGTTGAAATCCCCCAGTATCTAGATGTTTGGGGCCAGATTTGGGAGAATTTCCAGACAGTTGGCAGTTTTCAAAAGCTGTTCTTGGAACTGCTGGGAAGTTGCATCTGGAGGCTTGTATACAACCAAAATGACGAAGATTTTGGTTTTTGATCTTTACTGCCAAAACTTCAACTACATTATTTGAGGTGTTTAGTAATTGTGAGCAAATGAGTGAGTCTGTGACATACAAGTCGACCTTCCCTTGTTGCCTGTTTAGTCTGTCGCATCTGAATAGGTTATAACCTGGGATCCATATTTCGTTGTCAAAATGATCCTTTATGTGGGTCTTTGTGAAAGCCACAGGCATGACATTTGACTCCATGAGCAGTCCCCTGATGTAAAGTATTTTGTTGTTTGTTGATGGCTTTAGACCCCTGTATGTTTGCAAAGATAAATATTGTTATATTGATGTTTGCTGGCATTAATATCTGTTGTTCTGGAGTGGAGGCCAGTGACTGCCCCTCCACTCCAGAAATGTTTTCAGTTGGTGTAGGATTTCTGTCATTTCTTGCCAGTTTTTTTCCTTCCTGGCACTAAAAAACCTCCTTCTCTGGAGAGGTTTTGGCTTCCCTCTTTTGTTACCCATGGTCTGGGTGATCTGTATCTTCTTGTCTCCTTTAGATGGTGTGCCTGACAGTGTATGTTGTAGCACTGTTTTTCATGGACTGACGAGTGACACATTTCGGGGTGAAATAAGTCAAAAGAGGAAGAGTTGCACCCTCCTGTTGTCATGTGGGTGCAGCATTTTTTTGGGGATGGTCAAAGGTGCATAGCCCACCTATTATTCCAGATATACCATGCCTGCAGGTACCCAAGGCATAGAATTTGCATAGACTGGATTTTTGTTTGCCAGGATTTTTTGTGGCTGTGTTCCTTACTGGTGCATTTTTTCTGTTTCTCCACTGCTTACGACCCCTGTACGGACATCAGTGGGATTAAATTATGGGAAATCAAACACAAAATGGGAGTTGACACAGTTAGTTTTTTGCTGATGATACTGTGCTGTAGTGTAAAGCACCCTTCTGGCAAGACAGTGATGGAGTGAATGATGGTGAAAGTTTTTCTTTTTCGGGCCACCCTGCCTTGGTGGGAATCGGCCAGTGTGATAATAAATAATAAATAAACTGTGCTTTTGGGAGATTCTAAAGAGAAGTTGCTACGGTTAGTGGACAAGTTTGGGAGGGTGTGTAAAGAAAGTTGAAAGTGAACATAGATAAGAGTAAGGTGATGAGGGTATCAAACAACTTAGGCAAAGAAAAAAATGGATATCACATTGGAGGGAAGGAGGGGTATGGAAAAAGTGAATGTGTTCAGATATTTGGGAGTAGATTTATCAGTGGATGGGTTTATGAAAGATGAGGTTAACCATAGAATTGATGAAGGAAAAAATAAGGTGAGTGGTTCTATGAGGTATCTGTGGAAACAAAAAATGTTATCCATGGAGGCAAAGAAGGGAATGTATGAGAGTATAGTGATACCAACACTCTTATGTGGGTGTGAAGCATGGGTTGTAAATGCTGCAGTAAGAAGGAGGCTGGAGGCAGTAGAGATGTCATGTCTAAGGGCAATGTGTGGTGTAAATATTATGCAGAGAATTTGTAGTGTGGGAATTATGAGGTGTGGAGTTACTAAAAGTATTATTCAGAGGGCTGAAGAGGAGTGACATCTAAACTGTCATATCTGGGTGCCTCTGCAGAGATAATGATTATGTATTTAAGACGGTGAAAGTGTTGAATGATAGTGAAAATATTTCTTTTTTGGGTCACCCTGCCTCGGTGGGAGACAGCTGACATGTTGAAATAAAAAAAAAAATGTACCAACCGTTTTTATAAGAGTATGAGGCATGGACTTAAAATGTTGCATCGAGGAGGAGGTTGGAGGCAGTGTAGATGCCATGTTAGAGAGCAATGTGTGGTGTGAACATTATACAAAGGATTCAGATTGTACACATTTGAAGATGATGTGGTTTATAAAAGGTATTATTAAGAGGGTGGAGAAAGGGTTGTTGAAGTGATTGGGGCATTTAGAGGATGGAACAAAATATGATGCCAAAGAGGGTGTATAAATTGGGAGAGAGAAGGAGGGGTAGGGTTTGTCACAGGATGAGTTGGAGGGAGGTATGAAGGAGTATTTTGAATTGAAGTGAGTGGAGATGTGGTTATAGGGAATTGACGTAATGTTGGAGTCTGAACATTATAACAGTCATTAAAGGATTCAGGGGAAAAAGATTAGTAGGCCTTGAATCCTGGAGGTGGGAAGTAATGCATAAGGCTTGCACTGTGAAAGAGGGTTAAGGATGTTAGAGTTCAAAAGATTATTTGAATTGTGATGTCTGCATACTAATGGCAAGACAGCTTTTGAATGAATGGTATTGAATGTATCGTTTTATTTGGTCACTATACCTTGGTGGGAGGTGGCCAGTTTTATATTTTTTTTAATTTTGTGGTGATTTGATGAAAGTGTGTTCAGGTGCCAGATCAACCAGGCTGTGATGGATATGTGGGGTGGCAGGTCTCCAGTAGCAACAGCCTGATTGACCAGGCTAGCACAAGATGAGCCTGGCCCATGGCTGGGCTCTGGGAGTAGAAAGACTCTCGAAACTCATCAAGGGCATGATGGTTGACAGTGGCTTCTCTCAACATTCTCTTACAAAGAGTGTAGACATAAAAAAGTTAAGCTTATTAGGCAGTAGTTTTCTGCTCTTTGCTTCTGCCTCCTTGAAAATGATGGTGAAGTTTAAAGACCTATAATATCAAGGCACTCCTCCTTCATCCAAAGATTTTTATGAGCAGTGATCTTCATGGGATACTTTTCTTATCATTGATTTATTTTATTGTTTAATCTTAAGCTCATTATCTCCCTGGTCCTTTAGAATATGGTATTCATTTTGCCAATTTTTGTTTTAACTGTTTTATGTATATAATCAGTACTGTACTGTATGTGATAATTTTAAATTGATACTATAATTCTTTAAAATATTGCAGTGAAGCCATGAAAGTTCAGGCACTGAAGACAGCTCAAGAAGCTTATTCCAACCAACAAGCAAAACTAAGTTTGTTCTCAGGGAGTGAAGGCAAGTGTGCACCAGAGCCTGGGCGATCTAAAGAATGTAAGGAGCATCCACAGCCACTTATATTTAAGGGCATCCTCAAGAGCTACCAGATGAATGGCATGAACTGGCTGGCTAATCTCTACTATTTTGTAAGATACATTACTCATTTTTTTTTTTTTGTCCTTTAATAAAACTCAGAATGAATGATATCTGGAGTTGGAATAATGTTACACGGTTTACTTCATATACAAAGCTTGAAAGTCCATGTACAGTATTTACAAGTCACAGTACTATAGGCAGGTGACCAAGTAACATTTTTTATCTTGTTGAATTTAACTGTATATTGAGGAAAAGAGTGAAAATCAAAATGACATTTTCTCCTCTCTTGTTTTATTGGGAAATACAATTATATTATATACACCTACCATCCGACTTAGGAACCTGCTCAACTTATGACCGCTCGACTTACGACCGTGTTTTTTTTTTTTTTTGCCAAATTTCTGGGAAATAAACAACTGTTTGTATTGTACACAGTGTTTATCCTAAACCTTACAGTATAAAATACAGTACTAACAGCATAAAAAGTACAGTAAAACATGAAATACCAAAATAAAACAATAAAATAAAGTCATTACAAAAATGTGATGTTGATATTCAGTAGTAAAGTTCGACTTACGTCCATTTCGACTTACGACCGGTTTCTCAGAACCAAACTCGGTCATAAGTCGGATGGTAGGTGTATTGAGGAAAATAATGAAATTCACATTTCCATAGCTGGAAAAATTAATAACAAACCCACCAATTGGAAAGGACCAGTGAACTTTGCAGTCTCTACTGGATCATGATTCATTACAATCCAAAGCAGACTCTTCTTCTTTCTTCTTTCAACACACCAGCCGTATCCCACTGAGGCAGGGTGGCCCAAAAGAAAAAATGAAAGTTTCTCCTTTTACATTTAGTGATATATACAGGAGAAGGGTTTACTAGCCCCTTGCTCCCGGCATTTTAGTCTCCTCTTACAACACACATGGCTTACAGAGGAAGAATTCTGTTCCACTTCCCTGTGGAGGTAAGAGGAAATAAACAAGAACAAGAACTAGAAAGAAAATAGAAGAAAACACAGAGGGGTGTATATATATATGCTTGTACATGTATGCGTAGTGTGACCTAAGTGTAAGTAGTAGCAAGACGTACCTGAAATCTTGCATGTGTATGAGACAGAAAAAAAAGACACCAGCAATCCTACCATCGTGTAAAACAATTACAGGCTTCCGTTTTACACTCACTTGGCAGGACGGTAGTATCTCCCTGGCAGTTGCTGTCTACTAACCTACTACCTAGGCCAAAACAGACATTAACATTATTCAGTTTACCTTTCCAGTTATTGTATTTATTGTCACATGAGTAAGCTGTGTAAGGCATTTAAAGTAACAAATATTGTTTTTGTGAGGTTTTCCCTTAAAATTTTCATGACAGAGAACTCCAATAAATGTGTATACGAGATATTTGCATTTTCTTAGTGTACTGAAATATAAAACAAATCTTAGGAAATTCACAGTAATTACTCTGTGATTATAGTTACATTTGTATGGTTAGCTGGACTTGAGTCCTGGAGGTGGTAGAGTCAGTGCCTGCACTTTGAAAGAGGGTGGGATTGTTGTGGTCAGAGAGTTATCTGACTGTAATGTCAGATAACTCTCTGACTATTGAATGAATGACATTTAATGCATTTTCATTATTGGGTCACCCTGCCTTGGGAAAAGATGGCCGTTGAGTTAAAAAACTACATTTGATATGCAGAAACAGTATTTATTTGTGATAATAGTTACTTTGGAGTACAGCTCTTTAAGGATCATTGCCTTCACTGCTCAATCTCTAACCAGGCCTAATGATTGTTGACCTTAACAGTCAGCTGTTGTTCCTTGAAGTTAGCAATCTGATGTTGATGCTACAAGCCTGCTGATCAGGAAATGTTTATAGGAACTTGTAAATTGCCACCTTGATGACTGTGATATTAGTTACGTATTTGACTCGTGAAATTGTAATAACACAATTTCAAACAAATCACAAAATGGGATGTTTAGAAGCTGTGAACACTACACTTATTGAGTTATGTTTTAGTGTACTTAATGCACCCCTGTTTTTCTTTGGGCCTATTTTAGACTATTTGCCATGCCTCCAATGCTTCTGAGTTATTTTATTGTGTAGATTTAGAATAAGTTATTGTAATGGTTTTCATATATAAATTATGATACTGTTCAGCTTTCTCACCTTCACTGCAGGGATTACAATTTGAAAAATTTTAGGTGTTGCAATAATTTAGTTTTTTTTTTTTTTATTAACACATTGGTCGTTCCCACCAAGGCAGGGTGGCCCAAAAGAAAAAAACTTTCATCATCATTCATTTCATCACTGTCTTGCCAGAGGCATGTTTACACTACAGATAAAAAACTGCAACATTAACCCTTTCAGGGTCTGTGCAGTAGATCTACAGCTTTACGTTCAGGGTCCAAAACGTAGATCTACGCCATGAGCTCAGCTCACTCTGATAAGCTGTGAGTGGTAAATTTGGGCCTAGATATGAGAGAATACATCTATGTGGTATGTGTGCACCACATAAAACAAATCCTGCAGCATGCTGTGTATAATGAGGGAAAAAAAACTGAGACCGTGATTTTCGATTAAAACAGCGACTTTGCAGTGTTTTTTCGTATGTTTTTTATAGTTGTATTTGCGATTTCTTGGTCTTATTTGATAGAATGGAAGACATATTACAGAAATAGAGATGATTTTGATTGGTTTTAGCACTGGAAATGGCTTGAAACTGAGCTCAAATTAGCGGAAATGTTAAATTTTTGCCGATGTTCAAGAGTAAACAAACGACCTCACACGTCTAATACACACCAGCTGGTGGGTCTGATATATATTCACAAATGTGGTGATGATATTTATACAATTATTACAATATTGCATAACAGTAAATCTTCTATTTTTTTGGTTTAAATAAAAATTCATTATGTGAATAAAAAATCTAAATGGAATTCATTTGTAAAGCCTCAAAATGTAACTAATGAACAGAGGAAATATTAGTTTAGTGCCAGGAATACCTACATTGTTTATTTTGGACCCTATTTTGAAATTGGAATATTTTGAACTTTGTGTTAAATTGTCCAAATTACCAATTTCCGATCACTTTATTTTGTAGTTGAAATAGTTGACCTGGCGATTTCTTGTGCTCAATCAATAGAATATAAGTAATACTAGTGAAATAGCTAAGAATTTTGTCGACTGGAATAATGTAATTGGCCTAAAATGGGAGTCAAAGTCGGCAAAATCGCCGACTCATAAATATCGCTGACACATCAAAATTCATGAAGCATAATTTTGTCAATTTTCCATCAAATTTTGGACTTTTTGTTTTATTACCTTCAGAATAAGTTTCTCTACCATTTCATAAGAAAAAATAACAAAAATTTTTTTTTGAAAATTCTTGGACCCTAGTGCACACTTTGAAATTTGGCCTCTGGACCCTGAAAGGGTTAACACCCCTCCTTCAGAGTGCCAGCACTGTATTTCCCATCTCCAGGAATCAAGTCCGGCCTGCTGGTTTCCCTGAATCCCTTCATAAATGTTACTGTGCTTATACTCCAACAGCACATCAGGTTCTAAAAACCATTTGTCTCCATTCACTTCTATCTAACACTCATGCACACTTGCCGGAAGTCCAAGCCCCTTGCGCACAAAACCTCCTCTACACCATCCCTCCAACCTTTCCTAGGCCGACCCCTATCCTGCCTTTCCTCGAAGTCATTGTATTTTGTGCCATCCTCTCTGCATGTCCAAACCATCACAGTAACCCCTCCTCAGCCCTCTGGATAATAGTTTTGGTAATACCACACCTCCTCCTAATCTCCAGACTACAGATTCTCTGCATTATATTCACAGCATACATTGCCTTCAGACATGGCATCTCCACTGCCTCCAGCCCTCTCCTTGTTACAACATTCACAACCCATGCCTTACACCCATACAAGAGTGTTGGTATAACTATACTCTCATACATTCCTCTCTTTGCTTTCATGGATAAAGTTCTTTGTCTCCACAGACTCCTCAGTGCACCACTTGCCTTTTTCCCCTCGTCACTTCTATGATTCACCTCATCCTTCATAGACCCATCTGCTGACATGTCCACTCCTAAATATCTGAACATATTAACCTCCTCCATACTCTCTCCCTCCAGTCTGATATCCAGTCTTCCGTTACCTGATTTATTTCTTATACTCATCATCTTACTCTTTTCTATATTCACTTTTAATTTCCTTCTTTTACATACCCTACCAACCTCTGCAACTTCTTTTCAGAATCTCCCAAAAGCACAGTGTCATCAGCAAAGAGCAACTGTGACAACCCCCACTTTGTGTTAGATTCTTTATCTTTTAACCCCACATCTCTTGCCAACACCTGAGCTTCTCTTACAACTCCATCTATAAATATATTGAACAACCATGGTGACATCGCACAACCCTGTCTAAGGCCTACTTTTACTGGGAAATAATCTCCCTCTTGCCTACATACTCTAACCTGAGCCTCACTATCCTCGTAAAAAATTTTCACTGCTTTCAGTAACCTACCTCCTATTCCATACACTTGCAACATCTGCCACATTGCCCCCCTATCCACCCTATCATATGCCTTTTCCAAATCCATAAATGCCATAAATGTTCAACTGAATATATGCAGCTGGTGAATGTTTTCTGTCCATTCTCTAGGTATGCAATTCTGCCAACCTTAAATTGGGCTATTAATGTACTCCATTATTTCAGTATGGAGAGAGTACAAGTGCTTCAAAGAATATTATTGTTTGCTTTGTATCTCTCATTTAAAATATTCTTATTATCTAGTTAAATACTAATTTTGTAGCATTTGCATACTGTGAAACACAATTGTTGTTACATATCACTGCATCAAGTAGTGTATAAACTTACTGGACATGCTCACTTTCCATAACAAATGCAAAAAAATTTTGACT